TAATGCTACTTATAGGAAATGTACTTCTTGATCACTAGAAATTGCTTCTAATAAGTAAGTGTTAAAGTTGCTTTGTCTCTTTTCCTTTTTAATACAAATTTGACTGTGTATGAGAAAACTGTACGTGTAGCTTTAGAATGGGATGTGTGATAAAACCTGCCAGATAGTCTGTGAATCAGATTCTAGCTTGCACAGAACAACATAAGTGTACTTGGATTTTACTGGTTGCGCTTGTGGCTTGCTGGCCAACATGTGCCAAAACCGATTCATGCTATCTTTATCATTAGTATATAATGCTACATCTTAGCAAGGGTATGACTAAGGATGGTAATACTCGCATGGCAAACTCTCAGATATATATTTCATCAGGATGAAATGTTCAACCAAATCTATAATGATGTTGAGCACATTGGATTCCCTGGAGTGGTAGGGTTTAAGTATTCATATGATACATTCTACATTTTATCTGGCTCCTGAGAACTCGGTAACAGTGTAACAATCTTACTTTAATGTGATACAAACCCTGCCTGACTACTTGGCTTTTGCAGAGCAAAAACTAGCCTGAAAACCAATCAGCCATTTTCTGGTTCAAACATCTGCTTCCTACCTGACATGTACAGGTAATTCTAGGCCTATGTCCATTTGTTTAGTGATCAAAGTTATGGTGACTCTGAAAAAATAGATGTACAACTTGTCCTCCAGGTTTGTGTCCTCGCAACACCCCTCCCAGTCATAGAAATCCCAGTTCTTGGGTATCTGATTTGCAGTTACTCGCAATGAGTTGCAGATATATGTTCGCCATTTGTGACCTTCCTTGCTGGCTTCACAAGCCAAGTCGATGGGGAAGCTGGCAGAGAAGGTCACAAGTTGATCCTGCTTTTGTCCCATCTGCAGCACTCATCCTGCTTGCACGTGGCCTGCACCAGCCCATGTTAATCTTCCCCCAGCTCACACACAGTCTACACCGGCTGTCCCCTTGTTTCCCCTCTGGCATCCCCAAGCTCCTTATCTGAGACCTCCACCTCTTCCCATGCCTCTTGGAGTTATGACAGCAAAGAGGAATACCAGTTCTGTTTCTCATCATAACTCCATTGATACAAAATTAGATTTAGTAAATTAGATTTAGTTGTAGCTCCTTTTAATAGCCAAGTGGACTATAATTGAAGAAAGTAATTAAATCAATTAAAAATTAATTTGTTCTTTAGGTTATTTATTTACTTTTTTCATTTTTCCTTCTATTTGCCAGTTTCCAGATGGCAGATGTACTGTTCAGTACCAAGCATTGTAGTGACACAAGAAAATAGACTTTAATTCTCCTCATTTCTGCTGCTACAAGGAAAGATGTTTAGGGAGATTATTATGTAAGATGAAAGAGAACTTTTCCATTAGTAACTTTCTGAACAACTGTTATTAATACTACACCCTTCACAATTAGAATTCAATTTCCTTTCCAGTCATGGTAGTTCTCTTTTTAGCTAGCTCAAATCTCAAATTGTACATGAAATGTGAGGAATGTTTTTCAAAGTAATGTTATTATTTGCAGGAATGATTTTAAGGAAACAACAGGGTGCTATTAGTACACGTCATTTTCCCTATCGGAACAAAATGTAAAAAGTGGCAAAGATTTTTTTTTTTTTAGTAATTTTACTAATTTCTTCGTTGGTTTAAATGAAATACACAATTGTTTGAGACAATATGTGTTTATAATTTTTGCATATTATACTTGGGTTATATACGATAAAATATATACAATTAATGAGATACAGTACTTACAGCAGCAAACCTCACAATGCAGCATTTGTATTTGTGGCAAACCTCACAATGCAGTTTAGAGAACTTTCCATTTCATATGTTCAGTCATTTATCCTATTCTCTCTTTATTACCTAGCAGGCTCTTGCAACAGATGCAGAAGTCTTCAGTGAAAAAGAACTGGAGATAAAAATATTGCAAGATCAGATACAAAAGCTGATACAAGAAAATCGTGAATATCTGGAATCATTAAAGGAAGCACAAGATACAAATAGGTTACAGGTAATTTAGGTTTTCTTCAAGTTACTTAGGAAATATATATAAAATTATATCAATCTTATAGATGATAGCTTAATAACAAGGATAAGAACCAAAAAAAGAATATTACAACCATAAATGCAGTTTGAGAACATTATAATTAGAGTTATCAAGATCTATTCCCATGTAAGTGCATATAACATTGCAATTTTAAATTTAAGTTGAATCCAAATTTCAGTGGCTTTAAGTTCTGCAATTGTGTAGTTTAATAAATGCAATTTTGTTTCATTTCAAGAATGAAAAAATGGTAGAGCAACGACTTATAATTAACCAGCTAAATGACAAATTGGACAAAATGGCAAAAGCATCTGCCTCTAATGGTGCTTCTGGGGATGGACCAGCTGCAATAATATCAACTAAAAGGCCCTATAGTGTCCCATTAACTAAAAGTTTGATGCAGATGAATAACATACCATTAAGATTGGATTCTCGAAAGGTATATATGAAAAAATATTTTATGTTAATAAATATGTTAATAAATATGTTAATAAATATGTTAACCTCCTCCCCCCCAAAATGGGGATTTGATTCATAGAAAGTTATTTTGCCCTACATTGTCCACTGAGTAATTTTTAAACAGAACCTGGATAAAAATATTTATTTTTTTAAAACTTATTTAAAAGGTACACACAAGCCCTCCGATGTATTCCTTAAGTAAAGTTATAGCTGGATTTCAGACCCGTAATCAGATCATGTTGGATCACATAGAAGAGCAAGATGAAGTCCTTCATTATTGCTTTTCTGATCACAGTGATGATGATGATGATGAAAACAATGCCAAGACTAGAAGGAGATTCAGATTTAGGTATGTTTTTAATCATATATAACCTTAGAGCTTGTGATATTTAATGTGTATATCTGTTAGCTCATGTTATGAAAATATATTTAAATTTGAAACAATAATTTTATAGTAGACGGTAAGAAGCTGAACCAACGGTCCACAATGTTTTCCATAACATCTTGTGGGGGATCTTCAAAGGGTCCTCTTTGTGCTGATCTGAGTAAGAGGAGGTTAATAGAGATGGTCCCTCAGTTTGTTAAGTTCTAAGCTAGTTACAGTTTTAAAGATAAACACTAGCACTTTAAATTTTGCTTAGTAGGCAAGTAGCAACCACTGCAGATCCTTCAGCACAGGATCTTTCTGATTTCTGTCCCCTATATCATTTAGTAGGTTTCCTTTTAGGTTTCCTGCCTGAGCAGGGGGTTGGAGTAGATGACCTCCAAGGTCCCTTCCAACTTTTATTATTATTATTATTATTATTATTATTATTATTATTATTATTATTATTATTATTATTATTATTATTATTATTATTATTATTATTATAGCCTAGCTATGACATTATTCCCCAATAATTGCAATTTTTAAATATTTACAAAGGTAGCCCATCTAAACTACATTGCAGTTTAGTTCCAGAATAGCTAATAGAAAGTTCTATTTCTGTAATATGGGACAGTCCTTATAAAACTGTGTCTTTGAATCCTCAATAAACAAGATAGCAAGAAAAAAAGAAAATCGGTATCACATTTTTATTTACTAGCAATACTCACAGCACTGTTTTGTTCATAAAACATTCTTTCACTGTAAAAATACTTACAATTACAGGTAGTCCTCGACTTTATGACCGTAAGTGAGCCCAAAATGTCTGGTGCTAAGTGAGACAGTTAAGTGAGTTTTGCCCCATTTTATGAACCTTCTTGTCATAGTTGTTAAGTGAATCACTGCAGTTAGTAAGTTAATAACACAGTTGTTAAGTGAATCTGGCTTCCCCATCGACTGTATTTGTCAGTTGCCAAGCATCAGAATTTTGATCTCGTGATCATGGGGATGTTACAACGGTCATAAGTGTGAAAAATTGTCATAAGTTTTTTTTTTTAGTGATGTAACTTTGAAAGGTCACTAAACAAATGGTTACAAGTCAAGGTCTACCTGTAATACACTTGTGATCTCAAGCTTAATTTTTTTTTCAAAAAAAATGTCTGCTTTAATTAGACGTTCCTTAAACCGTACATGGACACGGAAGCAGGCTCCTTCTACCTATATAACTGAAGGAAAAGACGTACAACAAAATGCCTGTTCAGAAATTGGAAATCTTTCATCAACAGAAGCTGTTACAGATAAAGAAGGTAAATTGATATACCATTATTATTGTGTCTTACGTAGTCCAAAGAACAAAATGGGAACGGGATTCTGGAAATATGGACTTGTATTCAAAGTAATGCATAATTAATAATTGAGGATGACATTTGTATTATAATATTAACTTATGTTAAATTTCATAGAATATACATATTTGCTCTTTAATATTTTAGTATATTCTGCCTTTCAGTAAAAATATTTTTAAGCAAACAAGTGCTTAAAAACACTAACAGNATAATATAAACATGTCAGTAAAGCTTAAAGACATATTAAAATATACTTTATTATACAGAGAATTAAAACATGTAGCATTTTAAGTTGTAATCAATAAATATGGTAAATCATTATGAATGCCAGCAAATAAAAATTAACATATTATAAGTAACATTTTGATACACATCTCCATATTACTGTATGCTATTTTTGAACACTGTTTACGGTAAGTAAGTTTATCTGCATTGGCCAGTGTACACACCATTAGTTTTCAAACTACCCCTGGAAACTTAAATAACTCACTATGCTATATATGAAATCCCCATAAGTCCTCGACTTATGACAATTGAACCTAAAATTTCTGTTGTTAAGTGAGTCAGTTGTGAATTTTGCCCCATTTTAGGGCCAAAAATTGTTAAGTCTTGCCACATTTGTTAAGTGAATCACTACAGTTGTTAAATTAGTAACACAGTTAAGTGAATCTGGCTACCTCATTGACTTGGGTTGTCAGAAGGTTGCAGAAGGGGCTCATATGAACCCCCTCCCCCCGTGGACATTGCAATCGTAATAAATAAGAGTGAGTTGCCAAGCATCTGAATTTTGATGATGTGACCATGGAAATCTTGAAACAGTCATAAGTGTGAAAAATAGCTATGTCACTTTTTTCAGTGCCATTGTAACTTCGAATGACCACTAAACGAACTGTTGTAAGTCGAGGACTACCTGTAGTTGCGTTCATATATAATCAGTAGCATTCATAAACATTCTGTACTTAACAATAGATAAATAAAATAGATTTCAACATTTAAAAAAAAATCTCTTCTCCAGAAATACAGTTCATTTTATAATATACTTAGCCTAGTTTTGTTCTGTTAGTCCCAAAACGGCTTATGTCTAACATTTTCTGAGAGTATATGTTATATGTTCTTAAAACAGTATACTTTCTTTAAAGGTGCAGATATTGAATTGATCAAGAAAAGTCAGATACTAAATGTACAAAAGTTAAAGAATTCAGAGCTAAAACTTATTGCTGCTAAGCAAAAAATGAATGAACTTACCCTTAATATCAGAATGAAAGAAGAACTTATTAAAGAATTGGTCAAAACAGGTAAATGTATTTTGTGATTTATGCTTTGAATATCAATATATAAAAGAAAAGAACCAAGTTTTATATGAGATAATTATTGCTGTACAGTGCAAAAAAAATATTTTTTAAGGCAGCCTAAAGTCATTGTACAGCATCTGTTAAGATTGGAGCAATCTTCAGTTTTTGAATTTTTATCTAAAACGCATTAAATGATGTTGAACCAGTTATTTTAATTTCGCTGCCTAATCTACCTCATGGTTGTTTTGAGAACAAAATATGTTTATGAGGAACCATCCTTAGTATCACTTTGAATATTTTCTTTTTTTTTTGTAATAAATATGTTAAATGGTTTTTAAAAATGATAATAACAATAGCTGCTACAATGCCAAAAGTCACAAATGATTAATTATTATTTTTAAGGTAATGATGCTCGATCTGTAAGCCAGCAATATTCTCTGAAAATAACACAGCTGGAGCATGAAGCAGAGCAGGCCAAAATTGATTTAGCAGAAACACAAAAGCAGCTGCAAGAGTTAGAGAACAAGGAACTAAGGGACATTGCTGAAAAAGCCAGATTACAGAAAGAATTCAGAAAAAAGATGGATGTAGCAAAACTGAAAGTTCAGGTATTTGCAACTGGGAAATTCATAAAAACCTGTGCAAAATTTGCAAAAAGTATAAAATATCGCACCTCACTCTCAAATAGAGAGTAGATACTTGATACTATCATAATTCATTAATATTGCTAGGTTGTGTGATATAGTAGAACAGATTTAATAGCCACGGCAACAAAGGGACTTAGAACATGAACTGGAGATCAGAAAGCTGCTCGATGGGGGGTTACTACAATGCTTTGTTATCTTGCTATCTAAATCTCTCTCCCAAATATTGATCTTTTCTTCAGAAATGTAGTTTTTTGCTCATTTGCCCTATGCTTCAATTCTTGTCCAAATAATTCCGTATATCATATATAACAGTGGTGGCAAACCTATGGCACGCGTGCCAGAGGCGGCACTCGGAGCCCTCTCTGTGGGCACACGCACCGTCATCCCAGCCCCGCCTCCTCCCACGGCCCCCTCCTCACCAGCAGCCCTCCTGGAGGAGAGCCGCCCCCGGGTGCGGCCCATGCGAAGCAGCACAGCCAAGGACATGGTAGCCGGGCAGCGGGGACAAGACTTCGCCCTTGCAGCCTGTCGTGCACAGATGATGCGGGGCATGGGCAGAGGGCGTGGCCACCATGGCGCTGCTGGGCTGCCTTGGTGATCTGTGGCGGGTCGTGGAGGTGGTGGGTGGCCCAGCGGGCAGGGCGGAGCGGGGACGGGGGTGGGGGGGGCAGTTTTGGGGCACTCAGTCTCTAAAAGGTTCGCCATCACTAATATATAACCTAGATATTAAGAAATATAAGCTATAAAAATTAATTATGGAGCATTTCCAATAATAGATTTGTTTTCTGAAAGTAATGTTCTCCACCTATAAAAATCCTTGATAACTTAATTATTGATGGACTCAATATTGTGCAAAGTACAAGGACATTGACATGATTTTCGTTTTATTTTTATTTTGTGTCTTTCTCTTTAGAAAAAAAAATATAGTTCACTCTTATGCTGAAAATGCCCAAAGCTAGTCACATACGCAATGAACCATAATTAAACAAGGAGCAAGTTAGTAAAACAGTCCAATTGTAAAGCTAACCAAACAATAGAATAGTATTATATAACATAAGATAACAGTAATTGATTAAATAAAATGTACTCTGTGACTTCAGGTCATACAGCAAAAACAGCAGGAAACTAAGAATCTAGCATCATTATCTACCCAGAATGAGAAACGTAGATCAGAACTAGAACAGAATATTAATCACATGAAAAATCAACAAGCCCAATTACAGAAAAAATTGCGGGAGGAGAGTGAAAAAAAGAAAATACTGGAAGCAGGAATTCAGCAGGATCAATCAAAAATCAAGGTAAAAGATTTTCATAAGTAAACTATTACTATGTTTAATGACAATAGTTTCATTTCACTTGATTGTAATACACAACTTCTAAAACACTTCTTCGGTGAATATAAACATATAGTTAATGTATTAATTTTATGGGTAAACAGTTCCACAAAACTATACATTAACTGCATGTCAGTATTCACTGAAGAACATTGTCAGAAATTGTATATTACAGTCAAATTCCAAAAAGGTTCCTAATTCAAATCGTATTTCAATTCTGAATTTACTTGAGATGCCACTAGGTGGGCAAATCCATTTAGTCTTCTTGACAATATTTTTTGTAAATGGTTTTCCATTAGATTACCCCAGAGTCACCAAGCTGGGTTTGTGCCTACAGCTCATGATTTCCTGGTTTTTAGCACGGTGTCGTTAACCATTATACCAAACTCAGATTATGTATAGAAAATCTTAATCAAAATGATACATAAATATTAAATATAAAGGAAAGGTATGACTGTATATGATAATTTATTGTCTTCTGTTAAGGATTATAATACTTTGTGTCTCTAAACATTATGTTTCAAAATAACTGAAATACCAATATTCCAGTAATAATATGTATAAAAAATGTTTCTTTAATTACAGGAACTTCAGCAAAAGACAGAACAGCAGGAGAAGATTCTAAAGCTAAAGGATGAAGAGATTGCTGCATTTAAGAAAAGAAACTCAACTGGGACTCCCCAACAACTGCAGGCAATTGAAGTTTTGTAATGCTAGTCTGCTGAAATGCTTTTGATAGCCTTGTTCTACTCTATCCATAACATGGAACTACTAAATGCCTGGAACGCTGCAACTCTTTATTTATTATTTAATTTCTGTGACTTATACCTGGCTTTTCTCCTCTAAGAAGTATTTTAGGCAGCTAAGTTAAAAAATAATAATAAAAGGTTAACATCAATAATGTAATAAAATGATTTAACAATTAAAAGCTTGGCAAAATGTAGTATTGTTACAGCTTTTCTAAACTGTAAATGGATTGCGGATCTTTTAAACTAAAAGTGATACACTTGAAAAAAAAATGCTTCACTGATAAATCAAAGAAGATTATGAATTTTTTTAGGCAAACAAAATCTTAAGTTTTACCAGTCAGAAGAGGTTGTGTGAATCATTTATCATGCAATCAATCTTTTCTCATTTACAGGATTGCAGATAATCTTGTTTTCCATTTTAGCCCCTATCCAGTATGATTTCGTAGAACTCTGTTATCTTATGGAGAATTTTTTCTTTTTAACTAAGAATAAAGAATAATTCAAAAGTTTATTATTTATTAATCATACTATAAATTGCTTTTTTAGAAGCAGGTGATGGATTCTTTTTTTATAGATGGCACAGACCTCAAACAAAGGACTTCTGGCTTCTTTGTTTGTAAAGCATGATTTCTAATACAAAAATAGCATTTATTTTCTGATGCAACTTAGGGTCTATCTTACGTAATATCAGGGCTTAACTAGTCTTGCCCTTAGCCACTCTCCCAGCTATGGTGTACAGAAAAACTGAAATTCTTTTCTCCTTAGCTTAAAACGCTCTTCAACTTCCCAGATAACCATTCTCTTGGTTGCCAGTTAGTATGTTCTAGGCCAGGGGTAGTCAACCTTGGCTCTTTTATGACTCGTGGACTTCAATTCCCAGAATTCCTGAGCCACCTTAGCTGGCTCAGGAATTCTGGGAGTTGAAGTCCACGAGTCATAAAAGAGCCAAGGTTGACTACCCCTGTTCTAGGCTTTTCGGACAGGTATCCTTTATAACTGGTCGGAGCTGCTACTGGCATTTAGGCATTTCATTTATGGGCGGGGGACAAATGTTTGCTTCCAGTATTACTGTAGCAGGTTGCTGGCACAGCCATAGAGCTGTTTCTGCCTCTTACTTCTACTGTTCTTCTGAAAAAGCTTCTACCTACAGGTAGTCCTCGACTTACAACCACAGTTGCACCCAAAATTTCCATTGCTAAGCAAGACAGCTATTAACAGTTGTTAAGCAAATCACTTCAGTTATTAAGTGAAGCATGCAGTCGTTAAGTGACTCTGGCTTCCCCAATTAACTTTGCTTGTTGGAAGCTGACTGGGAAGGTTACAAATGGTGACCACATGACCCAGGGACAGTGCAGCTGTCATAAATACATGCCAATTGTCAAAGGCAATGGAATTGTACGTTGATACATTTGTAATCTTTAAAAATATACACATACAAAATTTTAAACATCTATGTTCATATTTCTGTTTGTAAAAACACTGAGATGTGTTTTTGTGCATACTATTTTGCAATCACAAGATGTACTGATTTATCTTGTATCTGTCAGATTTGATTTTATAACTTAAAAGGTGTTTTTTTGAGTATATGAACAAATTATAGTTTTATGAGGTATTCCATTTGGCCTGACTAAATTAAATAGTCCTCTGCTATTAATTACAGTATGTCCCACTGAGTTGAGTGTGACTTACTTTTGGTTGATGTGCATAGAATTACACTATAAATGCCAGTTGGAACTTTTAACCCATTGAAAAATAAGCACTGTTTAAACTAGTTTTAGTATTAAAGCTTAGTATTAAATTTAGTATAATTGAAGAGCTAAATTTGTGCATCATTTCTGTTCAATGTAGAAATTAGAAGAGAAAAAGAAATGCTTAGATGAAGAACTAGAAAAGATTTTGCACCAGCATCAAGAGNGAGACTTCACCAATGGATTATTAATATCTAACCTGATCTAGCTGAGAGCCAAGCCAAAACGAGTCATCAAGAGCGGAGACCAAGTTAAGACTGGATTACCAGTAGGAGGGGGCGTGACAAGTTTTGGATACTTGGTCTCAAGAGCAGGCAGACAAAGGAAACCCATTGGTGGAGTCTCCGTCTCCTGTACTGGAGAAAGTTCTATTTCTGTAATATGGGACAGTCCTTATAAAACTGTGTCTTTGAATCCTCAATAAACAAGATAGCAAAAAAAGAAAGAAAATCGATATCACATTTTTATTTACTAGCAATACTCACAGCACTGTTTTGTTCATAAAACATTCTTTCACTGTAAAAATACTTACAATTACAGGTAGTCCTCAACTTTATGACCGTAAGTGAGCCCAAAATGTCTGGTGCTAAGTGAGACAGTTAAGTGAGTTTTGCCCCATTTTATGAACCTTCTTGTCATAGTTGTTAAGTGAATCACTGCAGTTAGTAAGTTAATAACACAGTTGTTAAGTGAATCTGGCTTCCCCATCGACTGTATTTGTCAGTTGCCAAGCATCAGAATTTTGATCTCGTGATCATGGGGATGTTACAACGGTCATAAGTGTGAAAAATTGTCATAAGTATTTTTTTTTAGTGATGTAACTTTGAAAAGTCACTAAACAAATGGTTGCAAGTCAAGGTCTACCTGTAATACACTTGTGATCTCAAGCTTAATTTTTTTTTTAAAAAATGTCTGCTTTAATTAGACGTTCCTTAAACCGTACATGGACACGGAAGCAGGCTCCTTCTACCTATATAACTGAAGGAAAAGAGGTACAACAAAATGCCTGTTCAGAAATTGGAAATCTTTCATCAACAGAAGCTGTTACAGATAAAGAAGGTAAATTGATATACCATTATTATTGTGTCTTACGTAGTCCAAAGAATAAAATGGGAACGGGATTCTGGAAATATGGACTTGTATTCAAAGTAATGCATAATTAATAATTGAGGATGACATTTGTATTATAATATTAACTTATGTTAAATTTCATAGAATATACATATTTGCTCTTTAATATTTTAGTATATTCTGCCTTTCAGTAAAAATATTTTTAAGCAAACAAGTGCTTAAAAACACTAACAGNATAATATAAACATGTCAGTAAAGCTTAAAGACATATTAAAATATACTTTATTATACAGAGAATTAAAACATGTAGCATTTTAAGTTGTAATCAATAAATATGGTAAATCATTATGAATGCCAGCAAATAAAAATTAACATATTATAAGTAACATTTTGATACACATCTCCATATTACTGTATGCTATTTTTGAACACTGCATTAACAAGTTTAAGTAAGTTTATCTGCATTGGCCAGTGTACACACCATTAGTTTTCAAACTACCCCTGGAAACTTAAATAACTCGCTATGCTATATATGAAATCCCCATTCATATATTTGATACATATACAAGTAGTCCTCAACTTATGACAATTGAGCCTAAAATTTCTGTTGTTAAGTGAGTCAGTTGTGAATTTTGCCCCATTTTAGGGGCAAAAATTGTTAAGTCTTGCCACAGTTGTTAAGTGAATCACTGCAGTTGTTAAGTTAGTAACACAGTTAAGTGAATCTGGCTACCTCATTGACTTGGCTTGTCAGAAGGTTGCAGAAGGGGCTCATATGAAAACCCCCCCTGTGGACATTGCAATCGTAATAAATAAGAGTGAGTTGCCAAGCATCTGAATTTTGATGATGTGACCATGGAAATCTTTTTTTTTTTTTTTTACAAATTTTTTATTTCCATGGAAATCTTGAAACAGTCATAAGTGTGAAAAATAGCTATGTCACTTTTTTCAGTGCCATTGTAACTTCGAATGATCACTAAACGAACTGTTGTAAGTCGAGGACTACCTGTAGTTGCGTTCATATATAATCAGTAGCATTCATAAACATTCTGTACTTAACAATAGATAAATAAAATAGATTTCAACATTTAAAAAAAAATCTCTTCTCCAGAAATACAGTTCATTTTATAATATACTTAGCCTAGTTTTGTTCTGTTAGTCCCAAAACGGCTTACGTCTAATATTTTAGGTCTCTCTGAGAATATATGTTATATGTTCTTAAAACAGTATACTTTCTTTAAAGGTGCAGATATTGAATTGATCAAGAAAAGTCAGATACTAAATGTACAAAAGTTAAAGAATTCAGAGCTAAAACTTATTGCTGCTAAGCAAAAAATGAATGAACTTACCCTTAATATCAGAATGAAAGAAGAACTTATTAAAGAATTGGTCAAAACAGGTAAATGTATTTTGTGAGTTACGCTTTGAATATCAATATATAAAAGAAAAGAACCAAGTTTTATATGAAATAATTATTGCTGTACAGTGCAAAAAATTATTTTTTTAAGGCAGCCTAAAGTCAATGTACACCATCTGTTAAGATTGGAGCAATCTTCAGTTTTTGAATTTTTATCTAAAATGTTGTATTAAATGATGTTGAACCAGTTATTTTAATTTCGCTGCCTAATCTACCTCATGGTTGTTTTGAGAACAAAATATGTTTATGAGGAACCATCCTTAGTATCACTTTGAATATTTTCTTTTTTTTTGTAATAAATATGTTAAATGGTTTTTAAAAATGATAATAACAATAGCTGCTACAATGCCAAAAGTCACAAATGATTAATTATTATTTTTAAGGTAATGATGCTCGATCTGTAAGCCAGCAATATTCTCTGAAAATAACACAGCTGGAGCATGAAGCAGAGCAGGCCAAAATTGATTTAGCAGAAACACAAAAGCAGCTGCAAGAGTTAGAGAACAAGGAACTAAGGGACATTGCTGAAAAAGCCAGATTACAGAAAGAATTCAGAAAAAAGATGGATGTAGCAAAACTGAAAGTTCAGGTATTTGCAACTGGGAAATTCATAAAAACCTGTGCAAAATCCACAAAAAGTATAAAATATCGCACCTCACTCTCAAATAGAGAGTAGATACTTGATACTATCATAATTCATTAATATTGCTAGGTTGGTGTGATGTAGAACAGATTTAATAGCCACGGCAACAAAGGAACTTAGAACATGAACTGGAGATCAGAAAGCTGCTCAATGGGGGGTTACTACAATGCTTTGTTATCTTGCTATCTAAATCTCTCTCCCAAATATTGATCTTTTCTTCAGAAATGTAGTTTTTTGCTCATTTGCCCTATGCTTCAATTCTTGTTCAAATAATTCCGTATATCATATATAACAGTGGTGGCAAACCAGAGGTGGCACTCGGAGCCCTCTCTGTGGGCACACGCACCGTCATCCCAGCCCTGCCTCCTCCCACGGCCCCCTCCTCACCAGCAGCCCTCCTGGAGGAGAGCTGCCCCGGGTGCGGCCCATGCGAAGCAGCGCAGCCAAGGACATGGTAGCCGGGCAGCGGGGACAAGACTCCGCCCTTGCAGCCTGTCATGCACAGATGATGCGGGGCATGGGCAGAGGGCATGGCCACCATGGCACTGCTGGGCTGCCTTGGTGATCTGTGGCGGGTCGTGGAGGTAGTGGGTGGCCCAGCGGGTAGGGCGGAGCGGGGACGGGGGGGCAGTTTTGGGGCACTCGGTCTCTAAAAGGTTCGCCATCACTGATATATAACCTAGATATTAAGAAATATAAGCTATAAAAATTAATTATGGAGCATTTCCAATAATAGATTTGTTTTCTGAAAGTAATGTTCTCCACCTATAAAAATCCTTGATAACTTAATTATTGATGGACTCAATATTGTGCAAAGTACCAGGACATTGACATGATTTTCGTTTTATTTTTATTTTGTGTCTTTCTCTTTAGAAAAAATATATATAGTTCACTCTTATGCTGAAAATGCCCAAAGCTAGTCACATATGCAATGAACCATAATTAAACAAGGAGCAAGTTAGTAAAACAGTCAAATTGTAAAGCTAACCAAACAATAGAATAGTATTATATAACATAAGATAACAGTAATTGATTAAATAAAATGTACTCTGTGACTTCAGGTCATACAGCAAAAACAGCAGGAAACTAAGAATCTAGCATCATTATCTACCCAGAATGAGAAACGTAGATCAGAACTAGAACAGAATATTAATCACATGAAAAATCAACAAGCCCAATTACAGAAAAAATTGCGGGAGGAGAGTGAAAAAAAGAAAATACTGGAAGCAGGAATTCAGCAGGATCAATCAAAAATCAAGGTAAAAGATTTTCATAAGTAAACTATTACTATGTTTAATGACAATAGTTTCATTTCACTTGATTGTAATACACAACTTCTAAAACACTTATTTGGTGAATATAAACATATAGTTAATGTATTAATTTTATGGGTAAACAGTTCCACAAAACTATACATTAACTGCATGTCAGTGTTCACTGAAGAACATTGTCAGAAATTGTATATTACAGTCAAATTCCAAAAAGGTTCCTAATTAAAATCGTATTTTAATTCTGAATTTACTTGAGGGTGGGCAAATCCATTTAGTCTTCTTGGCAATATTTTTTGTAAATGGTTTTCCATTAGATTACCCCGGGGTCACCAAGCTGGGTTTATGCCTACAGCTCATGATTTCCTGGTTTTTAGCACGGTGTCGTTAACCATTACGTATACCAAACTCAGATTATGTATAGAAAATCTTAATCAAAATGATACATAAATATTAAATATAAAGGAAAAGTATGACTGTATATGATAATTTATTGTCTTCTGTTAAGGATTATAATACTTCGTGTCTCTAAAAATTATGTTTCAAAATAACTGAAATACCAATATTCCAGTAATAATATGTATAAAAAATGTTTCTTTAATTACAGGAACTTCAGCAAAAGACAGAACAGCAGGAGAAGATTCTAAAGCTAAAGGATGAAGAGATTGCTGCATTTAAGAAAAGAAACTCAACTGGGACTCCCCAACAACTGCAGGCAATTGAAGTTTTGTAATGCTAGTCTGCTGAAATGCTTTTGATAGCCTTGTTCTACTCTATCCATAACATGGAACTACTAAATGCCTGGAATGCTGCAACTCTTTATTTATTATTTAATTTCTGTGACTTATACCTGGCTTTTCTCCTCTAAGAAGTATTTTAGGCAGCTAAGTTAAAAATAATAATAAAAGATTAACATTAATAATGTAATAAAATGATTTAACAATTAAAAGCTTGGCAAAATGTAGTATTGTTACAGCTTTTCTAAACTCTAAATGGATTGCGGGTCTTTTAAACTAAAAGTGATACACTTGAAAAAAAATGCTTCACTGATAAATCAAAGAAGATTATGAATTTTTTTTAGGCAAACAAAATCTTAGTTTTACCAGTCAGAAGAGGTTGTGTGAATCATTTATCATGCAATCAATCTTTTCTCATTTACAGGATTGCAGATAATCTTGTTTTCCATTTTAGCCCCTATCCAGTATGATTTCCTAGAACTCTGTTATCTTATGGAGAAATTTTTCTTTTTAACTAAGAATAAAGAATAATTCAAAAGTTTATTATGATTAATCATACTATACAGTAAATTGCTTTTTTAGAAGCAGGTGATGGATTCTTTTTTTGTAGATGGCACAGACCTCAAACAAAGGAGTTCTGGCTTCTTTGTTTGTAAAGCAGGATTTCTAATACAAAAATAGCATTTATTTTCTGATGCAACTTAGGGTCTATCTTACGTAATATCAGGGCTTAACTAGTCTTGCCCTTAGCCACTCTCCCAGTTATGGTGTACAGAAAAACTGAAATTCTTTTCTCCTTAGCTTAAAATGCTCTTCAGCCTCCCAGATAACCATTCTCTTGGTTGCCAGCTAGTATGTTCTAGGCCAGGGATAGTCAACCTTGGCTCTTTTAGGACTCGTGGACTTCAATTCCCAGAATTCCTGAGCCAGCTTAGCTGGCTCAGGAATTCTGGGAGTTGAAGTCCACGAGTCCTAAAAGAGCCAAGGTTGACTACCCCTGTTCTAGGCTTTTCGGCCAGGTATCCTTTATAACAGGTCGGAGCTGCTACTGGCATTTAGGCATTTCATTTATGGGTGGGGGACAAATGTTTGCTTCCAGTACTACCGTAGCAGGTTGCTGGCACAGCCATAGAGCTGTTTCTGCCTCTTACTTCTACTGTTCTTCTGAAAAAGCTTCTACCTACAGGTAGTCCTCGACTTACAACCACAGTTGCACCCAAAATTTCCATTGCTAAGCAAGACCGCTATTAACAGTTGTTAAGCAAATCACTTCAGTTGTTAAGTGAAGCGTGCAGTCGTTAAGTGACTCTGGCTTCCCCCATTAACTTTGCTTGTTGGAAGCTGACTGGGAAGGTTACAAATGGTGACCACATGACCCAGGGACAGTGCAGCTGTCATAAATACATGCCAATTGTCAAAGGCCCAAATTCTGATCACATGACCAGGGGGATGGTGCAACAATCGTAGCTGTGAAAAACAGTCATAAGTCACTTTTTTCAACATTGTTGTAACTTCAAATGGTCACTAAACGAATGGTTGTAAGTCAAGGACTACCTGCACTTGCACTTCCTGTCTCTTTCTGAATGCTGGCTCTGATCCCTCAGCAGGAGGACAAGCTATGCAACTCCCCATTCCCTCTCTTCAGCACATACCAATGCAATGTTCTTGTGTTCCTTTTCTGCTCTCCCTGTGGAATTGTATGTTGATACATTTGTAATCTTTAAAAATATACACATACAAAATTTTAAACATCTATGTTCATATTTCTGTTTGTAAAAACACTGCGATGTGTTTTTGTGCATACTATTTTGCAATCACAAGATGTACTGATTTATCTTGTATCTGTCAGATTTGATTTTATAACTTAAAAGGTGTTTTTTTTAGTATATGAACAAATTATAGTTTTATGAGGTATTCCATTTGGCCTGACTAAATTAAATAGTCCTCTGCTATTAATTACAGTATGTCCCACTGAGTTGAGTGTGACTTACTTTTGGTTGATTTTATTTATTTATTTATTTATTTTATTTATCAAATTTATACCCCGCCCTTCTCCTAACGGACTCAGGGCGGCTTACAGCCAGTTAAAACAGATAACTAATACAATAATACTAAATTTAAAATGTGATTAAAATGAAATATATTCATTATTGGCCATTTCTTTTTAAAATTATTTTAAAACCAAATTAAAATACCCCTTAGGCCAGTCCGGCTAGCTTAAATAGCCATGTCTTGAGGGCGCGGCGGAAGGAGGGGAGATCCGGAATCACCCGGATCTCTGGGGGTAGTTCGTTCCAAAGGGTGGGGGCTCCAACAGAGAAGGCCCTCCCCCTGGGGGT